GCTGCTGTCGCAGTAATTCATGAGCCAATTGCTGCTTTTAGTCTGCTGCTGCTGCCGCTGAAACTGCTGCTGCTGCTCCTGCACCTCTTGTGGCCGCTGCCACCGATATTGCTGGTGCTGTGTCTGCTGCTGCTGCTGCTGCTGCCGCGCCTGCTGCCATTGTTGCTGCTGCCGCGCCTGCTGTTGCTGCTGTTGCTCCTGCTGCTGCTTCCTTGGGAGCTGTTCCTGCTGCTGCTGCTGCTGCTGCTGCTGTTTCTTGGCTTGCTGCATAGCCGAGTCTGCCACGCGATGCAACTGTAGCAGCAAAAAAGACCCTGCACCACTGCGCTAGGGTTTAGGGTTTAAACTTTAGGGTTTAAGCTTTATGGTTTAGGGTTTAGGGTTTAGGGTTTAGGGTTTACCTGTTCTAGAGACCAGACCTTGACAACGCTGAGGACTCCCGTGCTCTGCAGCAGCCGCAGGTCCCCGTGCTGCTGCAGCTGCTGCAGCAGTTCGAAGGCTTGCTGCTGCTGCTGCAGCATCTCGTCTTGGTTCTCGTCCTGCAGCTGCAGTGCTCTCGTGCTGCTGCTGCTGCTGCTGCTGCTGTGCCCTGCCTGCAGCGCCTGCGGCAGTGCTGCAGCAAACGCTGCGTTGACTGCTGCCAGCGCTGCTGCAGCAGAGCTCTCTTCATCCGTCTCCGTTTGCCCTTCCACCTGCTGCTGCTGCTGCTGCTGCTGCATGCGCTGGTGCAGCAGCAGCATATGCTCCACCCGCATCTGCTGCAGCACAACCAAGTGCTGCGCAGAGAAGCTGTGGCGGGCTATTGGCCCAGCACCTGCGCCGCAGTTAAATGTTAAGAGGCAGCAAAAGTTGCTGCTGCTGTCGTAGAGCGACAGCAGCCCCTCTCCATCGAGAGCAGCAAGCAGGTAGTGCTGCTGCTGCTGCTGCTGCTGCTGCTGCTGCAGGCTCCGCGGGTGCGGCAGCTGACGCAGACGCAGGAAGGACGCCCCAGAAGAAGGAGCAGCAAGGCAGTGGCAGAGAGATCCTGCAGCAGCAGCAGCAGTAGCAGCAGAAGCAGCAGCAGCAGCAGCAGAAACAGCAGCAGCAACAACAAACGCATAAACCATTCTGCGTGCGTGGTGCTGCATTGTCGCTGTCGCGCTGCTGCTGAGGCTTTCTGGCCCTACTCATGGATTTTTATCAGCAGCAGCAACAGCAGCAACATAGGCAGCAGCAGCAGCAGTAGCACCGTCGCAAAGCTCTAGTGACAGAAATAGTTTCAGTAGCAGCAGCAGCAGCAGCAGCAGCATAAACAACGGTAGCAGCAGCGGCACCGCGAAGCTCCAGTAGCAGAAGTGGAAGTAGCAGCAGCAGCAGCAACAGTTGTGCAGCGCTTTGATAACAAAAAGAGCAGAAGCATCAGCAGCAGCAACAGCAGCAGCAGCAGCAGCATCAGCCTCACCGTCTGCCACTGCCCATATTTTGATGGTGCTGCAGCTGCGCCTGAGCCAGGTGACAAGATGCTTGCTGCGGCGAATGAGCCGGTGCTGCTGCTGCACTGCAGCAGCAAAAATGCTGTTGCTGCGGAGGCCGCAGCAGAAGGGGGCCGGCGGAGAGTCCTGCTGCTGCTGCTGCTGCTGCTGCATCGCGCGTGCTTCCTGCAGCAGCAGAGAGGCTGGAGCGTTTGCTGGCAGCTTCGGTATGAACAGTTTGGTGCTGCAGCTGCTGCAGCGGCTGCTGCAAGTGCTGCAGCAGCTGCTGCTGCT